TATTCCTCTATAAGGGGTAACTGCGAGTGCTGTCTCGTATTCGCCTCAAAAAAATTTGTGACATTGAAAGAACAAGTTATGGCAACCCGCCACCCGAAGCATTACCTTATCGACATACCTGGGTGGTGAGCTTATAGCCAGTTTTTAAGGGGGGGAAATCCCACTGTATTTTGGGTACCCACAGGTGATGTTAAAAAAATATTCTAAAATTTAAGTTTATATTTATCTTATAAGAGTAATGGTTTCGTATTTTAACTAATGTTGCTTAAATTAAATGGAATTTATTCTAAAATATTTGGCAAAAATAAATTATGTTTTATAATAGAAAAACTAGAACTACATTTTCGTGTAAAAACTTATTATGATAATATAACAGCTAAAATTCACTACAAAAGTACAAACAATAAACAATTATAACCGTCTGTAAAAAATATACAAGATTCCAAGAAAACATATTCATGATACTAATTACCACAATATTAAATAAAACATTTGATTTATTTTTATTTAACTATTTATACATTATAATTTATTAAATATACCAGCTTTTTTTTGTTATGAAAGGCCCAAAAGTATAGTAGGCACCTCCTAAATGCAGGTCTCTACACGCTTATGAATATAGTATACTTGAATGAAAAAGTTAATGAAAAAAAAATTGTACCTGGCAATTGTTAATAATTAATTTAAGAATAAGGTTATATAACTTAAAAAAATGAATAAAAATAAATAATAAATAATAATAATAATAATAATAAATAAAAGTAAATTTTTCAAAAATTACAAAATAAATTGTTTATCCTTATTTGACCCTAAAATAATAGTTTTGTTAAAAATTATATTTGTCTTAAATATTTCATAGTGTAGGCTTGAAAGGATAAGAAAAGGGTTAAAAGTTCTTACCTGTAGAAATATCTACATAAACTATCTTCAATGACTGGTGAATCCGCTGTTTGAAAAGTTAACAAATCTACCTCTGGTCAGCGATATTGGGAAAATAGTTAATTGACAAATTAAAATTGTTTAAATTTGAAACTTTAAAGCAGGAGTCTCCAACCTTTTTTTACCGCGGGCCAAATTTGATATACGCTTTGGCATCGCGGGCCAACATTTTTAGAAAAATAAATAGGTTATAAAATTGAGCAATAAATAATAATAAATAAGATTTATTTAAAAAATGTATGTTTATTTATATAATTTTTTTATTTTATAATTCAAAATTTCGTTTTATTATGATAAGAGTAAGTTATTTAGTGAGACGTTTGGAACTGCTTGTCTTTTAAAATGTCTTGAAAGTTTGCATCAAACTTTGTGGTTCCAATTAGCAGCGTCGCTTATAAATGTTCGTCACTTAAGTTAGTTCTGTACTTAGATTTGACATATTTCATTTTTGAAAATGTCTGCTCACATAAGTATGTTGAGCTAAATATTGATATCATTTCACGCGCATGTTTTTTGAGATTTGGAAATGATTCCTCTGGCAACATGGCGTAAAATTGTTGGAGACTAGCTTCCTTGAAATAGTTTTTGAAATTGTTGTTTGATATGAGCTCGATAACTTCAAGCTGAAACTCTGTCGGTAAAGTTTCTATTTTTAATGCAAATGGATTTTCAAAAATTCGAATACGGTCTTCTGCACTTTTGAAATCTCTAAATCGGGTCTGGAACTGCTCTTTTAAATAGGTGAGAACTCCAACAGCAAAATCGGTAGGGAATTCTTCATCATTTTCAAGTTTGAATTTGTTGCATGTTGGAAAATGGGCAAGATTTTTTTATATTAATTGATTTGTGAATAGATTTAGTTTTAATTTGAAAGCTCTAATGTAGGAATATGTATCTGAAATCAACGAGTTAGCTCCTTGCAACTTTAAATTTAACTCATTAAGGAGCTGAGTTATATCGACGAGAAAAGCTAATTTCCATAGCCATGTTAAATCAGTTAACTCAGTTATAACACGGTTTTTTTCTGTCATAAATGTGTCGATTTCTGAACGAAGATAAAAAAATTTTTTCAAGACGTGACCTCGGCTGAGCCAACGAACTTCGCAATGATAGGGAATATCTAGGTACTCGCTTTCAATTTCAGCAAGAAAGTTCTTAAACTGACGGTGACTGAGAGCACTTTTTCGAATATAATTTACATTCTGCACAACAATATTCATAACTTCAGATATTGGTGCATTTTTCCCACACAAAGCTTGCTGGTGTATTATGCAGTAAATAGCCATTGGTGCTGCTGCACCAGTCTCAAATACAGCTTTACAAATATTTCCAACCAAACCTGTATGTGCTCCACACATGTTGCGTCCACCATCAGTAGTTACGCCTTTTAAAATGCTAAATTCAAGACCCAAAGTAAAAATAGATTCTTTTACCTTCAAAAAAATTTCATTACCAGTACATGAGTCTTTCATTGAGTGGACAGCGGCCAATTCTTCGGTTATTTCAAAAGATTCATTGACTCCGCGAACGAATAAAAGCACCTGCGCTGAGTCTGAAGCGTCGGTAGATTCATCCAAAGCAATTGAAAAATATTTAAAGCTTTTAGAAATATCTTTTAATTGACGAATAATATCATTTCCGAGATCTGTGGTACGTCGCGCAATTGTATTCGCTGACAAGCTAATACCGGTGAATAAATTGATTTTATCGGGACAAATCTCTTCAACTGTCTTCAAAATGCACTCCTTTACAATTTGGCCATCAGTAAACGGTTTTCCGGCTATCGCCAGAGTACGAGCTACTTGAAAACTTGCCTTTACGAGGGATTCATTTTGACATGACCGTTTAATAAAAATTGACTGTTGAGCTAGTAAATTCTGTTTTAAGATTTCAAATTTGTCCGATCGTAGTTTACCAGATAGGTCGTTATATGTAGATGCGTGCTTGCTTTTATAATGTCTACCAATATTATATTCTTTCAAAACAGCAACCTTTTCCTTGCAAATAACGCATAAAGCAACATTATTTTGTTCAATGAAGAAATAGTCATTATTCCACTTTTTGTTAAAAACACGGCACTCTGTATCGACTTTCCGTTTTTTACTTAAACTCATATTTATTTTAATACAGCACAGAGCACTACACTCGATAATAAATGACACTTAACTACAATAATCATAAAAACTGATTCTACATAATTTATAAATTATACCCGATACACTACAGTGGACTCACGGAGTTAGAAAAACCCGTCGATTACACGTTCGATAGCATTATTATTACAACGGAAAAAGTCGATCATATCTTATCTGACAATCGCGTAAGTTTTGAGTACAATATTAGGCAGATAAGTGTGATTGACGAGTTTTTCTATTATTAGTGTTAGTATATATTTACAAACATTATAAATTGTTATGAATAATACCAAAAGAAAAAAAATAATAAATTTATTTTATTTTATTAATTAATTCAATAAAAAATAAATTAAACTAATGAAAATTAATATTAATATTAATGTTTTTTTATATATTATTTTTAAAACATTAATTAGCTAGGCGGGCTGGTGTAAAAACCTTGGCGGGCCGGATTCGGCCCGCGGGCCGTAGGTTGGAGACCCCTGCTTTAAAGTATTAATGAAACTTATGGCTTCAGAAGAAATTAGAAGGAAATTATATGTGTTTACTTACAACTCCGTTGTTGATGTGACAAATATTTCGTACGAACTATTGTTAGGTTGAAAAATTGGTGAAGGCGAAAGGAACATAAAAAGGAGCAAAAGATCGGGATTGACGTTGAGGAACTCTAAAACAAATTAAGGAAAGCAAATAGGGAGAGTCAATATTACCTTGTAACTATGTTGTAAACTACCTTGTAAATTATTCAGGAACTTAATGCCCGAGATTCGTCGACTGTCAACATAAAATTAATGAAAAAATTATTATAGTTATTTAATAGTAAGAGTGCCTGAGTGAGCAATATACCATGAGCAATATTTAATTGCGTTTTCCTAGTTCCAACGGGTATGCATATAACCTATGTAGGTAACTTCGTCAACACAGGTCTTTCGGAATTTTAATTGGGTTTGGGTACGATTGGTATTTTCAAAGTCAAAGTCATATAAATCTTTAAATAATTATTATTTATCAGTAATATACCAATAATTAATAATATTATATTTGTAATAGTATATATAGTTTACCCAGAATTCAACATTCTAAAAGCAAACCATTTATTTTATCAACTATTAGTCTCCCAAAATTCAAACTAAGTTGGGTACCAGTGTGGCATTTAGAAATGTGCATAAATTATTTTTGTCAGAATGTAATTTATGAAATATAATTGAAGATAATTTTGAAATGAGTAATGAATCTGATGATAATGAATGTAGTAACTATGATTTTTATGATATTCTTACTGGAGATTATTCTGTTAAAAAAGTAAGACCATTAAAAAATAATGCTAATAAATAAAAATAAGTACAAATTTAGCAAGTGCGAAAGCGCTTTTTAGTTTTGATACAAAAAAAAAAAAGATTTAAATATTTTAGGTATGTTACCTATTATTAAAAAAGTTTTCCATAAATATAACACAACTCTACCATCATCCGCCCCAGTTGAAAAATTGTTTAGTAGCGGTTCCCAAATATTGACTCCTAGGAGAAACCGTCATTCTGACAATTGGGATGTTGATGTGTTGTAAATATTTGAATAAATAATATATTAATATTATAAGTTAAAAGTAGTATATTAATCTTTTAATCTTTGTATTGTTAATGTTATAAACATCATATTTATAAATAATTCTTATCAGCTGTGTATAAATTATATTATCATAATGTTATCATCATAACATCAAATAAAATGTTCTTTTAATTATTGTATATTATATACTTATAAAATGTACATAGTATAAATGATATTTGATGTATTTTACCTAATAACAATATTGTATATTTACTAATACAAATTTAAATACATACTAAAACTGTTGTTAAGGTTCATACTGATAAGAATTTATTGTGACGAGTCGTGAAAATATTTTACCAGTGGTATAATACTAAGATGGGGCCATAGACGAAAATAACCCCCCAAAAGATTTAGTGTTAGTTGCGCTACTGGTTGGAGGCCTAAGGAGCGAAGGGTAGTTTTATACTTATGTCTTATTGGGCCGGTCATCATTATGCCCTACGCTAGTAAATATTTAAATGACGCCCCTGACCGCAATTATTAATTATTTATAGAAAACACTATTAATAACTTATAAGGTAGGTATATTTAGGTATATTATATAATATTATAAACATTTTTATACAAATGAATGTAGAATATTTTATATTATTTTTAAAATCAAGAGGAATGAAGTTAATCATTGATGAAAATTTTGAAAAACAAAATATGCTAGCTTTTACAGTTTCACTTCATCGTGTATAATACCATTTTGGGATCAATATACATATTAACAACATAACGGATATCCTACTTTCCTATATTATAAGATAAATGATAATTTTTTCTTTTAAGCTGCTTTGTATAATAATAGGATTTGTTATTTGTAACTAAGTATTATGAAAAATTTTATAATTTTGAACAGTTTTTAAAATATTTAATAAAAATGTACATATTATATTATTAATATCTATATTTTATAATTTTGTGTTGTATAAAACAAAAAGCATATTATATTGATATTTATTAAATTTGTATGTTGAGAGAATATTATAAGGATTTTTTTTCACTAAATAGTTTGTTTTAACTTAAATTCAAGGCTTTGCACCCGAATAATTTTTTCAGGTTTCGGGTTTCGGGTGTTGAATATATTCGGGTGTTCAAACACCGCAATACAACATTTAAACAAACGTTTGGGTGTTAATAACCGTTATTATTTGGGTTAATATTGGTTAATACAGGTGTTATGTAGTTAAGGAAAAATATTATTTTTCATTGGTGGAGGGTAGTGAGCCCCCTCCACCAATGAAATATTTATATTTTTTGTTACCTACCTATGTAATAAAATAGTAATTTCTTATACAACTGTGCAACAGTTTTTTAAACCAAACTATCATTATGTTAATTTCAAGCAATTGTGTAACTACGATTTATTTTCGGGGAAGAGGGGGTTATTTTATATGTGTATGAAGCTTACAAATTGTAATATCTATTAAGATTAAAAATACTAACACTATGTCCTACTCCTAGTTAATGTGGGCATATCGCATGCGACAAAAAACAAACTAAATCGGGGGGGGGGGGCTTGAGGGAACTAAGTCCCCCAAAAATATAAAGTACATGTCTTAGCCCTCCTAGCCCTAAAAATTGTTAAGTGACTAAAAATACAATAATTATTATAGTTGTAAAATGCATTTTTTAATAACTGAATTAAAAAAAAATATTCTGTGATAAAAATTAAATCAAATTTGTAAGATTTTACAAACTTATAGTCATGATTTGGAACGATCGCAATTAATGTAATATTAATAATATGTAATAATACCCGTATAGGTTGTTTAATTTAATTAATTAATAATATCTGTTTAGAGCACCTACTCCAAAAATGTTTAAGATAAGGCACCTAATTGTTGATTAAAAATGTCAAATTGTCAAACTTCGTAAATAGCCTTGTTGAATAAATACTTGCGCACAGTGGTATCTATAGGTAAAATAAGCAAATAATGCTCAGCCCCCCTCCCCCACAAATTTCACCAAATTTCCGCTTATGGTTTGTGACGCGTGCACAGTGTGTACTGAACACACTTAAAACTCACTAGCTAGGACATAGCGTAATACAAAAATAATAGTAATTTGTACTTAATAATGTTACGATGAAATTATTACATCAACAAAAATTGACAATTCACGACATAGACATGTGTACTACACGCCATACACTGAACAAATACGAATAATGCGAACAACAATTTAGGTAATCATACGCGAGACATCAGTTCTATTTCAGCCTTACAGTATTGCAATAAATAACGACTCGGTGATTCGTAAAGACCTATTACCTATTAAATTATAATAATACGACGTATTCGCTTGGGATAATTTTAAAAATAGTATCCCAGTTTTTATACTTGAACATTCAACATACTATACCATTCATGCACAACAGTCAATATGATTTATTGCTATTGCCTATATTTAGATAAATTTATATTAATTAACAATTTTGTATATTATTTGTGAAATTATTCCTGTGAATAATAATTTTACTATTAAACAACTAATGACAAAACTGAAATAACCACAAAAATACATATAAAATGATATGTAACATAAAGATTGTAAAATAAAAAATTATTCGGGTTTCGGGTTAAAACCAATATTTTATTCGAGTTTTGGGTGTTTGATTTTTTAAGGGTTTTTAGGGGTATTACGGGTTCAGGTTAATTCGGGTGCAAAGCCCTGCTTAAATTACTTAAATTTTAGGTATTTTTATTCTTTTATAGTGATTAGTGAAGTTTGTATCTTCGTGATATTTTTATAAACATATTTCACAAATGATGAACAACTACATACCTATTCAGTCCATAGGCATCACTATGGGGTATCGAGAGGTATTTTTGCTACCCCAGAAATTTGTTGAGGTAGCAAGGGTATTTTTTTGCTAGGTACTCAAAAAAAGTTATAGATTTTACAATATATTCGAAGTTTATTATTCAAGTGTATACGAACATAGACCATCTATTGTTGTAATTGTATCCAAAATAATTATATTTCGTTTTAAGTCCAATACGGATAATGAGACAGTGTATATACCAGGACCGGCGTTAGGGGGGAGGCCAAACGGGGCATTAGTCCAGGGTCTCACGCTTAAAATTTTCATTGAAAAATATTTTGTACGTAAATCTCATAAAGTAAAAAGTGAAATGCTAGTGCGATTTCTAGAGAAATCCGTTGGCCTATAATAAAAAACCAATTAACAAAACAACACTATTATATTTTATAGGTACCTATGTCATGTATGCAGCAACGACGATCCATACGGCACGTCGCACAGTACGGAAACCGGGATACATAAAAAAATTGTTTTATTGCATACCTAAAATGTAATCAGTCATTACCCGATATCGCATATATTACATGTTAACGCTTTTGATTGCGGCCTAAGTTTA